CTTTCATCTTACACGTAGATATGAAGTATTTTATATAAATTACGTGTTATGTGCATATTATCTGAATACTTGTTGTCTATGTTGGATGAACGATTTTATACATGTTTCAAAAGATTTAAACGGTATATTTATTTTATATCTACAAATAAGTTGCGGATGAAACATGGGTAGATGAAATGGTTGGTGTGTGATGAAATAAAATGATGAGAGATAGGTAATGATAGAATTGTGATAATAATTAGGTAAATAGATGATGATGAATATGTGATGTAGGATGAAAGGAGATACCATAACCTTAACCGGCAATGTGACGATGTAGTCATCTACCAGAGTATAGATGACGAACACGGACTATTCTAGACAACTCAATGGAAACACCAGCAAGCCCATAACATATAGGTGATGAATTACGAGTTCAGGCGATGTTGTAACTACGTATTAATGCGATGATACTCTAACCCCTTACTATGAATTACGAGTTCAGACGATGTTGTAACTACGTATTCATGGGATGTCACAAATTCCGCATGCTAAACCAATGGTCATAATTCACATCAGTGAGAATGGTTCATTTTTTTTGTAAAACCAAAATCAAATTGGAAATTTTGATTTTTTATTTTGGAAAATATCAAACCATTGGTTTTTTATTTCGGTTTCGGTATTTTGTTTTTTTTTTAAATATATTTTTAGGGTTTTTTTATTTCCTAGATTTCTTCATCAACAAATGTTGCTACAATTTAACAAAAATAAATAATTTGCTAAAACATAATACAAGAGGAAGTTTGTTCACATTTCGTCATTGAACTTCTTAGAGGGAAACGAACTTTCGATTTTGTTCATATTTAATCACTAAACTTTTTTTCGTTATCTATTTGCCACTAAACTATTGAAAATGTTCATATTTTACCCTTACGACCGGTAACAGCCGGTCATAAGGGTAAAATGTGAACAGTTTCAATAGTTCAATGTCAAATAGATAACGGAAAAAAGTTTAGTGACTAAATATGAAAAATATCGAAAGTTCGTTACCCTTTCAAGTCATTATCCCTTAAGGATTTGCATCAAGTCATCAACAAGTTTGGTATTTATCTTGGGAGTGAAGAGTAAAATAGAGATGTGTGAATTAAGAAGGAAAGACATCAAGATGTGGGAGAAATCCTTGTTTTTCACAATTTCTATTGATGAAAGTTTTATTGAAAATTCCTAATGCCTTTTTATCATCGGAAAGAAGAGACCATGTTGAGTAGATCTCCACATAAGTTTTATCATCATCAACAACTTTCTAATCTCGGTCACTAATAGTATTTTTAGTTTATTTTGGAAAAATATCATTACAAATATGTGTATGCTCGAAAAAAGATCACCTCTAGTACGAGTTCAAAAAAAGATCGATTGTATTTTTTTATGTGCATCAACGATCATTAACCTACTAAGTACTTATCTCAAGGTTTAATTTGATAGGAAATGGAGTTGGAAATAATGTAAAATAAATCTTTCAAAAAATCCTTATATAAGTATACACACGATAAAATCATACATTTATATTTTAAATATAAAACAACGATTACTTATATAAAATAAATACAATAAATCAGCAATCATGTACAATTGGGATTTTGGCCGGTAAAATTTAGAAAAAATCGATATATTTTGAAATCATTAACGATATAGTTATGACATTTTAAAAGAAAAAAATCAAAGAGTATTATTTAACTATAATTTTAACATAGTCATCTTGTCTAACATATGTTGTATTAGTGTAATTTATTTTGTATTTTCTTTGTTAGATAGACTATTATTATTTTACTATAACTTTATTTATATATTTATTTCTTTCTTTAACATGGGTATTATTATTAAAATCAGTATATTTTAGAAGATACTAATTACTATATTTTCTCTAACACAAGATTTTCTCATTATTATTTTTTTGTCTGATAAAAAATATTATCTTATTGTAATATTAATTTATTCTCTATCTGATAATATTATTTATTTAATGTTTTCTATGTCTAATTATATTATTTTACTATAATGATTGTGTTATAAATTTTTTATTGAAGGTTGTTAAAACTAAAAAGTTTTTTGTACATTTATCGAGATTTTTCAAAAAATAACTACTTTTTGCAACATTTTGATTAACATTTTAAGCTTACAATAAAAGAATATTATTTGTCAGACATAGAAAATACAATAGCATTACAATAAAGCAATACTATATCTCATCATTTTGTCAAAAAAAAAATTAATACATGTATCGCTTATAAGCCTAAAATATGTAGATATCACTAAAGATTATCGACTAAAATTCAAGATGTCTGACTAAAATCAGCAATGTTTAAACGACTGTCGGTAACTTTTATCAATCACTATAAGTAGTCGATGTATTTTGTTTTTTATGTTTAAATTCAAAAAATTAATTTAATGTTTTTCATATAATTTTTATAAGATTTCCCTAATATAAGTGATACTTCTATAAATAAAATGACATGAAGATTAATAATTGTCACTTGAACTTTCTCAAAATACGTACATGTATTAGTGATTTTAGTGTTATCTTATCCCTTTAGTATGATTAACATTAATTTGAGATATATTGACCAACTTTGTGTTATATTGCAAGTTTGGGAGGTATGAAGTGAAGGGGGATCCAACATGTATCACACATGGTAGCAGTCTAATTGACCGATCTATAGACGGGGTCAAGGGGGTCTCCCTTTGGGGGGTACAAAGTATCTCCCCGATCTTAACGATATCTATAATATAACAGTTATATATGTTTTGTTTACAACCTTATGCATAAGTTACAAATTGATGCGGCTTTTCTTGCCACAACAAACCAAAATTAACTTTTGAATACATATATTTATATGTTTTTGGTTTTAAAGAACATTACTGTTACTTCATGAGAAGTTAACCTTTAGGCTATATGAAGAATGAGTGTTTTTGAGGAGCATATCTATCCGAAGTTGTGAATTTTGTATACCAGATTGTAAATTGACTATATTAAGCTGTGATTTTTTTATGGATTTTATGTTAAAATATAAATTATTTATGTATGAATGCTTTTGTATTAATTTTCTTATGAATATATTCATCTTTTGTATTGTTTTATATTTTTTTGCATTAAACTAGGACTTAGTGAATTCATTGGTTTATTAAACTGTGAATATAATATTTAAGCTGCAAATCCATGATTTGTATACAGATATGATTTGGAGGAATGATTGATATGACAATGGCACAAGTTGTTAGTGGCGGCATGTGGTAGTTGATAGTGGTGGTATAGTTTGGGTTTGACTTCTCAATTGAAAATAGACCGTATTAAGTTGTATATTTTATATAAATTTTGTGTTAAAATATGAATGAATATATGAAAATAATAGATTGTAGTTAATAGGTCTATTAAACTGTGAATATCGTATTTTGAACCGTTAATATGTTTTATATATTTTTAAAGATATATATATATATATATATATATATATATATATATATATATATATATATATATATAGTTTACAAGAGAGAAAATTACATTTGTCAAGATATAATTCTATTTTTTAAAATAAATTTTGTATATTTGACAAAAAAAAAAAGTATGTATTCAAAAGTATTACCAAATAAATAGAAGCTATAACGGTCGTTCTATTAAACTGTGAATACGATTAAAAATGTTGTAAGTTTGTTATTAGTCTGGCGGTGATCCAATGACGGTCCAATAGTGGTCCGGCGGTGATCCAGAAGCGGTCCGACGTCAAGTGACAACTATTTGTAAAGTAAGGTAGGAGAGAATTTGCTTAATATATTATTAGTGTTTGATTTATCTAAAATAGACCTAATTAAAATATTTAAAAAAATGATTCTTAGAGTTCTTAACTTATTTGGGTTGAGCAAAACCTAAAACCTTTAAACCGAAAAAGTCACATCTTTTGGCAACGGATGTGTTGAATGGTAACCAAAGTGGATATGATTGTTATACTATGGATGACCAACATTACAAATATGACCAACACTACTTAAGTAACCTAGGCAAAAAATATCATTATTGACTTCTTTCTCCGGATACTTTTGGCATAGTTTTTCTTACTCTTAGGTGTTGTTTGTTTTTTTGAAGTCAAAATGTCTGCAGTCTGCGGACCACATCTGCAAGCGTCTGCGGCAGAAGAGATGGACCAAATGTCTGCAGTCTGCAATAAGAAGACTGTTTGTTTTTAACGTCTGCGGGCCGTTAAAATAAATTGAATTTTTAAACTTAATTTCATGTTATAAACATTAAAAATGCATTTTTAACAAAAAAAAATGAAAGAAAAAAAAAAACTGCACGATGGTCATTTTTTTTTTTTTTGGTTTAGGTTAAAATGAGGTCTGAAGACCTTTGAAGACAGTGGCCCATGTCTGCGTCAGGAAGATCTCGCGCAGACGTTTTCTGATCTGCGCACTTCCAAAAAACAATCTGCGAGGGCATACGTCTGCGCGTTGTCTGCGCGGCGCAGACAAAAGTGATTGCGCAGATCTTCACACAAAAAACAAACAGCCCCTTAAACTCCTTCAACCCTCGTGCATTTCATATAGAGGGTTTTTGTCATATATATTTCCCAATAGAGGATCAATGCCTTGGAATTTTTTGCAATTCTTTGATGTATCAGATACATAAACCAAATTTACTTAAATTACAAAACTAACTATCAAATTCAAACAATTTGCAAATTTTACTGGATATTTAGGGAACCCATAAATTGTTTTTATCTAGGTTGATTTCTATTGCAAAATGTTCATCTTCTTACTTTAACTCCACAACTACACAGTAGAATTTCAACTTCAAGGTTTCATTGATTCCAAAAGCTTATTTTGAGACTAATAAAGCGTTGATAGTAGAAAAGACGTAGAATGTCTAGTGAATAAAAGGAGGCGTAAATTCTTATTTGGAAAGACAAAGATTTTATTAAACTAGAATGATATGAGTGGATCCAACACACCTAATTAACTATCATCTTAATGCTTCTTTCATAAATTGTCTTGATTCGAACATTATTTGTGATTTATTAAAGTTAACAACAAAATCCCTCATTTATCCAAGTTCATTCTAGTGGGCATTTTGTTTAAATGCATCCATCATCCACGCTTGAACATGGAGCTTAATATTTATTCTCTTTGTAAATATATATAACAAACATCAACTCCCAAGTCACACACTTCAATAATTTAGCCATTTCCACCCATATATACACTAATGTTCTATAGGGATGTGACAGATTTATGAGCAATGTCATAAACAGATATAAGAATTTCAGCACCTATCAGTATTATAATCAACCACTCCAAAAAATCCGATTTCCTGTTCTGCAAAATCTCTTGAAGAAACCGAATATTATGCTGCAATTAAAAAAAAAAAAACATCACCCCCTCAGTTTCACCAAATAACCAAAACAAATTTCCATATAAAAAAAACCACTTTACCTCAACAAACTTCAACTTAAAATCCAAACTCGCGAATCGCTGAGTCAACTCAAATTCATCTCTTAAATACTCCCATATCTGTGCATATTTCGCATCCTTCCATGCAATATCAGATCTACTCAACAGTCAACCCAATACAATTTTCTATTAATCTGTTCATTAATGACATCAGCAAGATTAAAAGTTTACCTCTCAAAAAGTCCGAGCTTAAGTATGACATCAGCAAGATTTGAATTTGCCTTCCCCACTAACTGAAAAAGCTTTTTCCTTTTCATGGTGAAAGTTCCAGTTTTTTCCATGCCACGGTTTATATCAGTGAATTCTGCAACCATCCCATCAACCTAAAACAAGAAATGTCAAGAATTGAACTGATAATCTTATAATCATTCATATGAAATATATAGCATAAACTTATTACAATGCTTACCTGGCGAACATAGTAATCGAGAGCTATACTTTGACCTAAAACACTGCCAATTGTACGAATCCCATCAATGTTTAAATACTGCAGCATTATAAAATCCAACCCACCTTGCATCCATGTGTCCAAACTTGGTTTCTCTTTCACCTCATACTCTGAGTTTAAGCAAAAAGAAAAAGAAGATTACATGGGTTTGAAGGAAAAAATAAGGAATAAAGGTTAAAGATCATAAAGTCATGAGAACTCACCATCTTTTCTAATCTCTTGGAGCAATCCTGAAGCATGATTTTTTACAATATTCAGATACCCATCGACTTCATGATCACGGACATTGAATAAGACAATGGAGCCATACTGAAAGACTACCATGTAGCTGCTTTCACTCCCACTTAAACTCGAACCCAAACCCTGAAAAAAGAATAATCATCAGGAAGCTTCGGAAGTGATACTAGAAAACACTGAAATCATATGTAGCTTCAACTTCAAGATTCATGGGAAATACAAGATGTAGTTATGCACATGTAACTCCAAAATGTATGAACCTTGTTGAGTGTTGTTATGCACATGTATCTCTAAAATGTTTCTTGCAAATAACTAAACATACAGCGAATGCAACAAAAATCTCTTGATCGCATGAACAAAATAGACTTACAATATACTCAGGCTTGTTGCTGCCAAACCTCAATACAATGTAATTAGTCATGCGTGATGTAGGCTGGATAAAATTAGGTCTGTTCTGTTCCACCAGACTTCTCAAATCCACACTGCAATCAAATCGCGCAATATTCACACCGAATGCAGTGATGAATAGGAAAACTTAACCATTTTAAGCAGCAATTGTCATACCTGGTAGAGAAGAAATAAGCCCTAACAGAAATGGGCGGCTTAACGTCCTCGTCAGTCACAAAATCATCGCCGGAATCCTCAACCTCTGCGCACACAGCAGGTTCATCCCACTCCAGCGTATCAGCGACCGAAAACGACGGGGAGGAGGAGGAAGAGGAAGAAGAAGACGAAAAAGAAGAAATACATTTACCCCCTATATAGTTCGAACTAGAGCCGAAAAAATCACGAGCAGTCGTTGGAATCGGAGAGGATGTAGAAGAATGTGAGAATCGGCATAGACTTAGGGTTAGTGAAGAGCGCGGCGGCTGAACCCCTAAGGGCTGATGTGGTAACTGCGGCGGTGTGAGGAGAGCAATAGGGTTTGAGGCGAGCGCGATGAGGGTTCGCAGTGATCTGAGAGTTAGGGTCTGAGAAGAAGAGAATGATGGAATGAAGAGCATGATGGCGGTTTTCGTGTAGTTGCCGATTAATCGGTGATTCCGCCACATTTTCAACGATGCCGGAGCATTACGCTGCCGTGTTTATCCGACGTAGTCTTGGCCTCTTGAGGTAGCGTATGCGGGTTTGTTGAATCGGGTTAAGGCTCACTTAATTTTTGGCTTTAGTCATTTAACTGGTTTTAAATTTTAAAATATATTATTCAATTTTAAATGGTTACACTTACTCATGTTAGAGGAAGTGGTTCGAACTTCGAAGGCATCAACGGTGGCATATCATAGGAACATCGTACCTCGACGATGGCATGACAATGTATCGGAAGAAAATAAATTACTCTTATATCTTTTCCTTTCCTGTTATTTCCTTATTGTAATCGGTTTCCTTTTAGCTTTCCATTCGATGTGTGTGTGTATATATATATATATATATATATATATATATATATATATATATATATATATATATATATATATGTGTGTGTGTGTGTTTGATCCTTTTGTAATATTTTGAGTTCAATATACATATAATACATAAAATTCCAATTCTATATGGTATCAGAGCGGGTCTCATAACGATTCGCCAAAACCACGAAACCCTAGATTATTGTTCATCGTTTCATCATGGCCGGTGACGAAGGCAACTCAAGGCCCAAAACCAATAACCAAGCCACCGACTACAACTCACCATATTACCTTCATCCGTCAGATTACCCAAAGCAAATGCATGTAAATGATGCGTTGAACGACGACAACTATCTCGATTGGATTCGAGAGATGGAGAATTTTCTGTTCACGAAGAAAAATAGGGTTCGTTGATGGAACTCTAAAGAAACCAGAAAAGATTGATGCTAATCACATGTCATGGTTACGTTGTGATGCAATGATTAAAGGATGGCTAACTGCAACCATGGAAAATGAAATCGGGGTCAGCGTGAAGTATGCTAACGCTGCTCAAGAGCACACTCAAACGGATCTGTAAGGTGTTTAAAGTAGATTTTGCAAACAGTGCATCTCTATATATCAAACGAATTCTATCTCTCATACGATCTTACATGGTTGTTCCTTATCGGCTCTAAGTCAATATTCTTTTGGGATTATTAATAAGTATGAGAAAAACATTGTAACGGTTAGACTTTATAAATATGAACGAAAACTAAGGCTTAGTAATATTCGTATTTAGGTCGTTTTAAAGGTAAATCCGAAGCATCGATCAAGGATCTGACTTTCCACCGAGTCTTTCACCTCAATCAAATGAATGCATAGTTACTTTAATAAACAATATTTAATACAGTATTTAAAGTTTATATGTGAATTACATGTTTACTATCTGACATATTTGTTAAATATATATTGGTAATATACACTATGTGAACTAAATATGATTATGTATGGTGTTCAATTATTTACATGATATTATTACAAGATAATATTAATATGTATCATTACTTAAAAGATTATTGTATATTAAAATATCTGATACTCTGTGTTAAGTATGTACACTAAATTACGATAGTGTTAACTAAACAGAGTTAGTATTAAAAGTTGATTGCAAGGATTGTAATTTTGTCTAAATTTTATACTAAGACGTACAAATAATATTTAGATTCAGATAAGTTGGATAAAAGAATGGTCACATAATGTATTGTGATAGTATGATATGAATAGAAAAATGGTTTTGGAAATTGATTATAAGCATTATAGTCTTACCTAGTAACGAAATAAGATTTATGAAGGATGATTAGTTTGAGTTAAATTGAAAGAGTGTACAGTTATTGTCACAACTAGCATTATTAGCTAGGAGATTTTATTTTCATATAAACATCAACTATTGTAAGACTTGAACTCAAAGTGAATATCATGTTATATGCTAAAATAAAATCACCCATTTGAATGCAAACTCCTGATTGAAGTTCAAAACCTAATACAATACATCTCATATATTGAACTATGGGTTGAAAACCCTAAAAAATCTTGTTCAAGTTTATTATGGACTAGGATCCTCTTATTAGGCCTAATGGACCAGTAAACTTTTAATTTGGCTATTTTGGGCAAATGAACCCTATTCGAGCTCTAATTTGACCCACATCCATGAAACTAAAGTATTTTGGGTCATGTGGGCCTAGAATGATTCATCTTATCACTAATGGGCCATGATGGGTTGTAAATGGTTTCATAAGCCCTAATGGGCCCTCAACTATATTCTTGGGCTTCATTCGACCGTGAACCCTCATAAGGGCCCAAAGGGCTGAAAATCTTCATCATGGGCCTCCTAAATTCAAAATAAATCAAGAAAGGGCCCAAACTCTTTCATTCTCTCTTCCTTTTCCCTTATACTTGGCTCAACAACAACAAAAAAAAAAAAAAAAAAAAAAACAAATGGGAGGGAATGAGAGAGTTGACACCTCAACAATATCTAGTGGATATACATGCAAGAGTGCATGTATCCATGCAACCCTCAAATCACACTCTTTATAAGTCAACCATCCCCTCTCTTATCTCTCTCTAACTCTCGGCTTCTCTCCCTCTCCAACCTCACTCACCATTTCAAATTCAATACCTTTTCTCTCAACCTTCAACATTCTTCCACTCACTATCTCTCAAGAAATTCGTGAGTATTAGGTGTGTTTTCAAGAAGATCACTTCAAGCTTCACATTGTGGTAAGACCATACAAACTCAAGTTGATATACTTCATTTTAAGCTCAATCGCTCCTCCTAAACACATGTTTTTTGTGAATCATGCTTCCTAAAACTTCCTAAGTTCGAAAATATTCTCAAGAACACATCTAGGGCGAAGATCTCCTTATTCCCTCACCAAAAACCCCTATTTTCGATTTTTAATTTGTTTTGGTGGAGTTGTTTTGTGTAGGTCTATATGTGTATGCATGATTTTGTGTGTTTTTCTAGTTATATATGTGTTTATGTGCTATAAACTTCATGGACTTAAAGATCTACTAAAAGATGATGATATTGGTTTGACATAACACTCATTTCAACTTATCTTACAAGAAAAATGTTTAAAATACATTTAGGTTACTTGAAGCTAAGAAAAACTTCATGAAAGGGGTTAAAATCGACAAAATGAAAAAAGTATGGGTTATTTATGTAACTCGCGGCTAGTAAGGGGTTTAAAAGGGAATTTTTGCTAAACATGGTTAATCTCGACATTTGAGACCATACAATGACTAAAAATGTAAACAGTTTCATAAATGGGTCTTATTTGGGCTTCTCACGGTTTTGGGCCCAAAAATTGTAATTTTTGATCTTTTGTGGGCTTAAATGCCATTTTCAAGAAAGTTGTGCCAAAAATGCAAATTTTTTACAAGAAGGTTTAAAGTTGTGAAAATATAAAATTTTGGGCCAAAATGATGAAATTATCTATAGTGGGTCGAATATATATACTTTTATAAAAAAAAATTAAACCAAAAATAATAATTTTGAGAAAAGTGAGTTAAAAATGTTATCTTTATAAAAACTAGCTTTAAATGCAAGTTTTGTCCAAAAAGGGGCCCAAAATGTTTTTTTACTACAATTGGGCCTTAATTGTAAATTTTTTACTTAAGGGGCCAAGAATGTCATTTTTACAAAAAAAAAAAAAAAAAAGATGGGCATTTTATGTCATAATAGTAAATAATTGAGCTAATACTAGCAAAATAATAACAAACGGTCTAATTTTGCCATTCTCGTGTTATTGGGTCTTAGTGGCCCATTTATATGCTTGATAGGTCCTGAATACTTTTTATATGTTTATTGGGCCTCATTGACCCATTAACATGTTCGACGGACCTTGGATACTCTTTGCGTGCTATTTGGGCCTGTAATACCTTACATGTGAAATGGGCCTTAGTTGTCATTTTACATACATTTTGGACCCATGTTATATAATCTCATTCATTTCGGGCCAGGAAATGACTTACAAGTTAAGTAAACCTTAATTGTTCACTTACATGGTTCATTGGGCCTGGAATGTGTTTTATATGTTTCTCTTCGCGTAAATTCAATTAAGGATCTAGTGAGACGGGTCGGTTGACACCTATTGAGTGTACGATCGTAGCTTGTAGTTATAACCAAAGTCTCTTGGAGGGAGAGCGGGTCTATACGGGGATGACACCCCACACATAAGTTGTTCGCTACAGTTAGACTACACTAATCTAGGGTGACGAAAACCTTATTCTATTTTTCGTCGGCGACCATAAACGTCAAGACAGGCGAAATTGTCATTATCTAGTATGGTTATAACGACTCACTTAGAGGAATTAACATTATGAAATTTACGGAAGACCATTCTCTTTTCTCTTTGGAATACCTAGGAACATACTCGCGCCGGTATTCAATCTCGGGGGTTGATATACCAACATTCTCTTTTACAGGCAACATAGGGTTGTCTGGGGACATTTTCTTTACATTCTCTTCATTTACTTTTGGAATTCTATTAAACCATAACACACATGCATTAATACAATATTGGACACGAACATACCAAACTATTTTAAGAAAATACAGGATTTTCTTGTGATTACAAAGTTATACAAATCATTTTCTCAAACATGCTTATGAACTCACCAACATTTTTATGTTGACCTTTTTAAATTAACTTGTATTCTCAGGAAACCGTTGAGACAGGTTGGGATGCACAATCTAGTGGATTTTTTTTTTTTTTTTTGTATTTTGTTTCATCATACTTTAATTATTTTGGCATGTAATATTTAGACACAATACTCGATGTAAACAATGTATGTTGTTATATTGCATGTGTGAAGATGATGATGTTATGTTTCAATTATATACTATGTGATGATACTACAAGGATGAAGTCACACGTAAGCCCCCAGATGTTTCCGCCGTCTGGTTCGTTGGTGTAACAGATTGGTATCAGAGCATTGTTTATAGTGAACTAGCATATCTAATCATACAGGGTATGCAACTATAAATACAATGGGACTAAAACACTATGGATAAGATAATACCTAAGCATGCATTAAAAATATAACACCAAAAGTCTTTGGAGGAAATTCAACATCGTGATTAAACCCGGACAATTATGTAATCGTAT